TCCAGGTACTGACCATGCTTACAAAGACTATGCATTATTACTGAAATTTGAAACTAAAGAATTGTCTCTTTCCATTTTATAATAGTTGGATATGGACTCTGATTTTTAAAACAACTAGATATCAGTTGGAAAATATGGGCAGTCCCAACCCTGGAATAGATGACCTCAAATAAAATGGGAGTCACTTTTTTAAAATGTCACTTTTCTACCACTAACCAGAAAATGGGTAGGATGATAGTAGCAGTCCAAGTCTAGAGTCAACACAAATGTGAATGGGACACCCTTGGCTTAGACAAGGCAATCTTGGATATCAACATGACTGACAAGAGAATGGCTGAAATCAAACTTCATTAGGTTGAATTTAAACCTGGATTCTTATTGGAATTATCTTTCCTAGCCTTTGGGACGGAGTCTCATTGACTGGAAGAGCTTAGACGGTGTAATCCCTTGAAATGATGTTATTAACAAGTACAAGGTGCTTTTGAAGCCAAAGGAGCATTGCACAAACCACTCAAGAAACCTGCTCTTGTTTTTAAGATATTTGAAGTTCATTGAAAGCTTTTCTCCATGATGAAGGACCACAAGATGATTCAGTACCTGATGCCCTGATACCTGGATCCTATGGTGGGAGAAGAGAACTGTCTCCTGGAAGTTGTACTTTGAGGCACACACATGTTCTCTGGCATCTTAGCACCAACTCTTATAGACACGCATGTATATGCATATAGCATTGATTAACTATTTTTTTCTTCAGAATGAAAACTTCATTTTCTAGTACTCCAGGTTAGGAAACTGTCACCTTTAGTAGTAAAACTTCTTTAAGAATTCAAAGGTTTTTTTAAGAGGCTATAGGGTATGAGTAGCTCCCTTGTAGCTTGCTTTGGAATTGACTCCATCTGGCCCACATGCTAAGGCTAGTGTGTCCTGCTGCAGGCCTCCTGCCTATAACAGAGAAAACACCAATCTGAGTGATGTGACTTTGAGATTATGGAGTGCATTTTGTTCCCAAGAATGTTCATCTTATTTCAGGGCACTTAGTGTCCTTGGATCTCAGTTACTAAATGCCAAAATAAGCCCCCAAATATCGTGTGGATCCAAAGAATAAAAGCCGGCCTCTCTGCCCCCTTCCAAATCCCTGACTGAGAAATGGAGCACCCCAAGTTGGGAAATCAGGCCACTGTCAGTTTTCACTCTGCTCCTGGATACTTGTTCCTGAAGCATGTCCCTGTGTGCTTGCCAGAAGCCACCAAGGCCAAACAGAAACTCCTTACAATGAGGACACTAAAAGAGTACATAGTACTTAAAAGAGGGCATCATCCATGGCTTCTCAGAAAAACTGGGCTCCTTGGCTCTGCATTCAACAGGGAACTGAAATTCCGGCAAGTCCTCTGAGGTTACTCATTAACTAGGCCACAATCATCCTCCCAAAAATTTCCTTTAGAACACAGTATGCCAGTGCAGCTCAACAATATGCTTCATAATGATATTGCTGCAGCCTAATTTCTCCCTTCTACAGCTGTAGAAACAAGAAGCTATAGTCTCCCACACAGATCAGAGAAACAAAACTTGGGGGAAGATGTCATTTGTCCAACTTCGCACTGCCTAAAGGAATGGAAGAGCTGGAATTCAAACAGAAGTCTATCGGGCTGATAAATTCAAGGACATGAACTCAAGTTCACTGCATTGGCCAGTCTCCCTGATGTTCTTTCATTTATCTTTCTGTAAATATCAGATAAGTTAAGTGAAATCCCTAAGATATGAACTAGGTCCCAAAGTGATGCTACAAAACAGTCATTTTGCACTGTGTTGTGCTGGACTTGTTCCTTGTTATTGCTAGGACTGCACTCAGCAGGGCCACCTTATTAAGTGAAGAAAATGTCCCCTGTTGTTTCAGGAGAAACGAATCAGATGGAAAAGCATAAAAACAAGTTCTGCAAATGCTCTTCTTCTCTCATGCACAGGGTGCAGCAATCTCCCATTCCAGCCTCCTAAGTGGCGTTTTCCTTATGTAGCAGCAGAAGTGTTTAGAAAAAGATGGAAGAGGTTTCAGAGTTGCCTTCAAAAACTCTTTCCCAATGTTTCCATAACACAGCAAATTGGGGCATTGAGCACACTTAATATTGGTCTGATTTAGGTTTTCCCATGTAGGAAACTAACAGTTTGCCTAGATTGGTCCTAATTGGCTATGAGAAATAGCTAATAGTGAGTGAGACATTTAGGTTTGTCTTTTTTTCTATTTTGTATTACTGAAAGCAAATTCAAATGCGAGTACTTCACTAAATATACTGATGTATTAAAAGCTTCTCCCAGCTGCGCATTAACTGAAATACTGTGGATCTGATCCTTCCACAGTTGATTTTCTGTAGAGAACACACAAAGTGACTTGTTTTGTGTTTCAAACACGTAATTTCCATTTTATTTGTAATAAAATTAAAACTTCTTTGTGAGCCAGTAGTCGTAGATGATCTGCTGCTGGGCATCCCTCTAATGAGACCCCATATTCTTTCTGTTATATGGATGATGATGACAACAACAATGACAACGGTGAGGATAATAATGTTTTCAAGCAGGTCTCATATACTCTAGGCTGATCTTGAATTTGCTGCATAGATGAAGATTACTTTGAACTTCTGATCTTCCTGTTTCTAACCTCCTAAGAACAGAGATTACAAGCGTATGTCACCCATCCTGGTACTGTACACAGTCAATGCCAGTGATCAAACCCAGGGCTTTGCATGTCATAGGCAAGCCTTCTACAACCGAGCTACATCTTCAGCCTGTGGGCTTGGCTTTTAATGAACCTTTATAATAGTATAATGACTTTGTCTATTGTGTCATTTACTTCTCACTTCTATGAAGTATATGCCAAAGGGAAAGCTCTGGGCAGAAGGAAATCTTCTACCATAACTAGATCAGAACTGAGACTATAGTAGATTCAAGAGTATGTGCTCAATGAATCGTTGAATGAATAAATGAGTGAAGTATCAATTCTTTGCCTGGAGTTCAATGTGAGTCTCAGAATCACACCTTATGATGTCAATTTGGTTATTGAATGGTCCAGATCTAAACAAATATGGGACATTTGAAAATAAAGTAGGAACTATAAATTTTGATTATTCTTTGTTTTGCCTATCAAGAACAAGACTCTTACTGGTGAGTGGGAATATAAGCCATCAAGGACAACCAGGACCTGTTTTAAGGAGGATATATTCGAGAGAATATCATTTGTCTCTAGACAGAAGCTTTCCTTTCATGGGATTTGGAGTTCCTGCAACCTCAAGCAGGCCCCTACAAGTGCTGACCAACATGTTACAGACCACCATCAGAACCATTCCAAGTCTCTGACTTACACTGATGTCCTTGTCCTGTCACATGCAAAAAAGGATACATTTCTCAGTCGTCCTATGAATGGCACCCTTACTTCTAAAAGAAGGGCTTCATCCTCGGCTCTCCTTCCAAAACAGTAAACTAGGTTTGCCCTGAGTCCTTGGGGTTCTAAGGCCTCTATTTGCCCCAGTTGTCCTTTTATTGAGTTCACAGACTACGCATAGAAAAAGGCTATTACCACACAGAGACGTTTAAAAATGAAAGCCAAACTAGTACATGGACTCCGACAACTGGGATAAGAAATATAATATTTATAAAACCAAGTAGGAGGTTGCAATCATTGCTCTAAAATAAAGCATTAAATATTAATTCAGAGCAAACCTATCTGTGCTCCGGCAAGCCTTGCTTTCATTAAAGTAGCATTGTGTGTTTCCCAGAATTAAATCCCAACTAGGTAAATGACTGGTGAGAAGCAAACGCTCTGCTGGCTGCAGAAGATCTAGCTGCAGCCTGGTTTGGAGTTGCCCTTACCGTTAAAGCCTTCTAGACCTTCACTTTGAACTAATTAATTGTGATTCCTCTGGTTCCTCTCTAGTTTTTTGCCCTTGAGTACTACTAGGAATGTTTAATTCACATGCTCGTGTTCATCTTCATTTGATTAATCCAAATGGCACCATGTTATTTGATTAATTCATATGCTGCAGAATATTAAATCTCAGGGAACACTGAGTGCCAGTTATAAGTTGGACTTGTATTTCTTTCCATGGATTTCTCATTCCAAAAACTTTATGTCCTCATCTTTATCCATTTGTGCCTATTTCCCTCCACTTTGCATTGACATTTTTAGTATGGTGTTACTGTTCTCATTTGTTTCTTACTCAGAATTTGTTCAGACGACAAAGGGTTCCTTACCATGTTGCTTCTGCATTGTCAGTGGTATGAGGTTGTTAGTGTAAAACATCGCTCTAAAGCTCTACCATAAATAAGCTTGTACTCTCTTAGCCTAATTGATTTCCAAATGATTTCAAATAAAAAAACACCCAGTTGTCATTGTATGGACAATCCCCAAGCAGTCTCGACTGGATTCCTATTAAATGAAAGGGATAAGCAATGACCAAAAATCCAAAAAAGTGGATCTCAGACATTGGCAAGGTGAGCACTGCTCAGCTGGATAAATGGGTACTTAACCTTTGACCAGTGATGACAGGCTTGCTTTACCTCTATGAAGACCAAAAGCAAGGAGTTATGATTAAATAAAAAAGAAAAAGAAAACTGTTCAGGGTTTTCTGAGCATGTCCTGGGAATTCAAGCATATGGCAAGGATAAGGGGAAAAGATTTTCCTTATGCTAATGACCCTCGATGTCTGAAATAAATTATATCCATTAGAGTTTATGCTCAATAAAAGAAAGACTTTAAGCACTCCAAAGTTAGTGACTCGAGACCGGTTTTTGCTCTGAAATTCAATCTGCCTACTTATTAATTCTTCGTGAGACTCCAGAGCAAACAGGGGGCACAGAATCATAATTCCATCCTCCACCAGAATTTTAAAGGACCACGGGTTTCTTTTCCCTTTTCCTTTAATTAAACCATCTTTCCATGCTTCCCATTTTGTTTTCCTTCATTAATTTAATTTTGTTCCCATTTCTGTTTCATTGTTTTTTTTCTTTTCAAGGATTCATTTACCCCATTTCAACTGAACACAGAACCCAGAATGAATATGGATTTTCTTGTAAGTTTGATGTTTGGGTTTTATGCTGGGAAATAGTCCGTTAGCATTATTGCCCCTGTTCAAGTTTGCCTTTTGTTGGCCCACAGATGTGCACACAGGAAATAGGAGCCTAATGTATTCTAACATGAAAAGCAAATTAGATTTTCAATGCTGAAGAGAAGAAAGGGTCATTTCAAGTCGCTGCCAGCATCAAAAGCTATCAGTCTACCACTGACAGCACGAGTTCCCATCACTGAAAAAACATATCATGAAATTGACTGGTATACATAAAGGGCAGGGTTCAAATATTAAAAAGGAAAGGTTGAGGAAATGCAGATCTGTTATGCTATAAATCATGAATAAGTAAAGTCAAACATTAAGGATTAGATATACTAATCTGACCAGAGTTAAGATTTCTTCTAACAGGGTCCCCAATAAAACCCCACAGCAAAGTAGAGTCAGCATTTTGACTCTCAGTGTTGTTCACATAATGAAGAGGATTGGGATGTCAGAGGGATGCTGTCAATATCAACTTGATTGACAAGAAAGTTGAAATAATGGGAAGGGTGATAGTTTTTAAAGAGGGCACTTTCCAACAGTAGATTCATATAAACAGCCAGTGTAATTAAAGACACTGGGACGCAAGAGTGTGGGTAATTGCTGGGAACCTCTGGCAGATAAAATGATGAGTTATTTCCACGCAAAAATTGTGTGGCTCTGGTTCTTGAGAGAGATGAATGGTTTCTCAAATTCTAGATCACAAAGCCTTAGATTTGAAAATCCTTTCCACGCCCCCAAATGTACATGGATACAAAAGTTGTTCCTCACTATCTGAAGCATCTTTAACTAGATCTTTTGCAGTGAAGTGACTACAGATTTGTTCAGTTTGACTGAATATTTCTGATGGATCTAAAACAAAGGCCTAACAATGTCAAACTGATTTAACAAAACTTTCATGTTTTTTGTTTTACTTTAACAGTCAGCTTCTATCATCTTCTCTAGTTTGATACAAGCATGTTTCATGCTACCAAAGAAACAGGCAGCATTTATAAGAATTCTCTATTTGCCTTACCTAGAAATAGCCCTGAGTAGATGTCACCTATGTTGGTCAAATGCTTACTTGCCTCCTGCGGTAGCCTGACCAATCATTAACCAAGACCTTTCTCTGATACAACATAGAGCTATAGTTTATCCCAGCAATGCGAAGCTTAATCAGGGAGCTCTAATGGGCCCATAAGAAGCTCAGGGTTCTGGGAGATAAATACTGTGTCTGCATTATAAACTAGAACTCACATTAGTTTCTGCCACTGGTCTGGGCTTCTGAAAACACAGGTTCCTAATCCACCATGTTCACCCCTCATACTTGCTTTGCTGTATTGCACAGTTCCTTGGTTCCCATCCATTCTTGCACTGATTTAAGTAGAAGAGAGGAGTGTATAGGAAGCAATTTTATGTATGTCTGTAGTGGTAGAAAAATATCTTGGTTCAATCCACATACAGATTAAAATCATACCAGATGTTTCTGACAGTGTTTAAGGGTTGTTTTGCTTTGTTTTGTTGGTTTTTGTTGTTGTTGTTGTTGTTGTTGTTAACTGAGTGAATTAAATAACCTTCCCAAACTTTCTCACCTGAAAAAAGTAATAAAGTTTTTATTTCCTATGGTTTGGGATGGTTTGGGCGCCAGTTTCTTTAAATGCCTGGCAATAAATAGTCTGTTATGCTGCCCAATTATAAGATAGATTAGTGGGTGGATTGACACAGAGCAAGAAAGAAAAAGAAATCAGAGATAATTTTCCACTGAAAAGCCATAGTCGTTTTATATAGCTTTTGAAATAGACTTGAAATTAACCCATAAAAATAGCAATAAATGTCTGAAAAAATTACTGCAATACATATGTGTTCTGTGGGAAGTTTCTAGAAGCAGTTGGTCTGATGTTTCATTCTCTCTTTCCAGCTGCTCCTGACTCAGATGATGTTGCGCTCTATGTTGGGATTGTGATAGCTGTCACCGTTTGTCTGGCGATCACTGTTGTAGTGGCTCTGTTTGTCTATCGGAAGAACCACCGTGACTTTGAGTCTGACATCATTGATTCCTCAGCACTCAATGGCGGTTTCCAGCCTGTGAACATCAAGGCTGCCAGACAAGGTCAGTGAGCTTCCCAGTTTATGAGTTATATATATGGTGAGCAGTGTGCCCGCATAGCTTCAAATTCAGCTGCATTTGTGTTGTCCAGTTGAGCTAGAGCGTAAGCCAAGTCAAGGCAGTGATTTTAGTTGGCTTTGTTCATTATAAGAATGAAATCATTCTATATAGTAAATCAAAGCTGATGAGATACACAGATCATTCCTGGTTTGTTTTTCTGACAGGTACCTCTGTCCTGCATCTTAACTTCTATTTGAAACAATAATTATATTGATTCATCGATTTTTATCTGGTATCTTTTCCCCTTCTTATAATGCTTTTAATATAGTGACTTGCATATGAATCCAAAATTAGCATAGGCAAGCAAAACCATTATCAGATAGTGACTCGGAGCTCTTATTGTTCTTTCTAGTCTGTTGAAATGGCCAAATACCCTTAGTGCCATAATTAGATCTCAAGGCAGAATATCAAAGGAGCAAAGTTACCTATCAATGAACGATAACAAGATCAATGCTGATACTATGCTTGCCCTGTTTGCCAGATCCTTTGATCTCTCCTTGTGCAGTTAGCAGACCAGCTTTGCTTTGGCTTAAAGGTGTAAAGCATTTTCTCCCTAATCTGCCTTGGTTTGAACAAAGAATGCAAATGGAATTTTTTTCTCTTTCTGACTCAGACCTCCTGGCAGCCCCCCCAGATCTCACCTCAGCTGCAGCCATGTACAGGGGACCTGTGTATGCTCTGCATGATGTCTCGGACAAAATCCCAATGACAAATTCTCCAATTCTGGACCCACTGCCCAACTTGAAAATCAAAGTTTATAACACCTCAGGTGCTGTCACTCCCCAAGATGACCTCTCTGAGTTCACATCTAAGCTGTCGCCCCAGATGACCCAATCCTTGCTAGAGAATGAGGCTCTTAACATGAAGAATCAGAGTCTTGCGAGACAGACTGACCCATCCTGCACAGCATTTGGCACCTTCAACTCGCTTGGGGGTCACCTCATCATTCCTAACTCAGGTAATTCTTAAAGGTGTAAGTGACAAAGATGCAATTTGAAGTCTTATTGGAGTCTCTAAAATCTTATCTCTGTTTTCTTTTTATTGAGGCTAAAATGTTAAATGTAGTCTAACTCAAATTTCCTTCAGTAGATCTCAAGCATTACTTTATACAAAATCTACAAAACCATTTAACTTCATTCAACAAATTCTAAATTCAGTACCTCTATAAAAAGGTGTAGTTTGGAATGGGCACTGACTACCATAAAGGCATAATCAATCCAGGAACTCTCATTGTATTCCATGGAGTTCAAAATAAACTAATTAGAAAATGCAGTCAGTTGGTTCCTCAGATTTCCTCCAGGAAGCTATATTTCAGAAATCTACTTTTTAAATGACTGGAAATATTACATAATAGACACAAAAATTTTCATGTACTAATTATTCAGTGTATCATTCAATCAGAAAGTATTATTCCAGTCTATGATTTATTGACTACAATCTCAACTTCATCCAGGGTACATTTGTAGTTTTATTTTTTAAGCATACCACATAGTTAAGCAATGTCTAAAGAATAAAAAACACAAAGGACTTCTGAAGGGGGACTTAAGTCAGTGGTTGCCAATATTGAAAGCTGATATTCATTTTCAGAAATACTGATGGACTTGCAGACAGCTAATGACTACTTTCAAAGCACAGCCTAACCCTTTTGAATAAGTCTGTGAATATTTTTCAATAAAATAACAAAAATAACTTCACTGACCTATTGCATTAATGTCACATAAAATTATATGATATATCTTACATATATGTATAAAATATACATAATATATTTATATATTTATTACTAATAAACATAGTATATAATGTATTATTACACATCACATATGTTTTTATAAACATGTGGATATATGCATATATACATATATATATATAAGTGCAAAACCACAGGAATCTGTAGCCTGAATGCAAAGCTGTCTCATGCCCACCATAAGCCATGCTTGCATTAACACCCCATTCCACTCCCCCAGCACCATAGCTGCCCTTTCCACCATGGTTCAATACCTTCACAGACAGGGTTCTACCAAAACATTTGAATAACTCTACCCCTAGCTGCCTCAGCTCTCTATTCCTTACTCTTGAGATTTACAGCCACTTGGGCAAGTTTTCTTGCTGCCATGTCTCATCAGGCACATTCTACTTCATGCCAAGTAATTGCATGCTACTCAAAGATACTCATTTTTTCCTTGACATCATAGAAGTGTCAGACACTCTCCTCATAAAGACAGTCTATGCATTTTTACTGCACTTAATTAAGGTACATTTCATGGGAATGGAAAGATGGAACCTAATATCTTCAACCAAGTCACTCTCTGTGGTGCTTGCTGATCTGTGCATAACTGGACTGGAGTTATGACAGGGTAGACTGCAGACCACCACTATGGGCATCACCTGAAGTCTTGTTCAAGTTCGTAAGCAAAAATTGTCAACAAGATTTTGGAGCCAAAATCTCCATGAGATCTTGACACCAACTCAAATTGCCTCAATATCATCTGAGGTCCAGTTCTCACACAGCTCAAACCAATCTCCCTTCTCGTTAGCAGCAAACAACAAATGAGAAGTGTTCTGATCTGTTGCAGCTAAGTGAGATGTTGTTGCTCATTTTCTAGAGTTGTGTATAATAAAATAAATTCTTCCCATCTCTCGCTCTCACTGTGGAATAACACTAATGCTCGCCAGATATTTCAAGGGGTGAAAATGTTTTCTGATATGGCTGAGGTTAGCATTTCCCTGACTTTGCATTTCGTGGAGAACTTTTTTTTTAATCAAAAACAATGCATCATTGCAGCTGTTTAAAATTTTAATAGCAGTTTTTGGTTTCTCCACAATTTACAAGAAAAACAACAGCAGAACCATCTGTCTATTCCTTAAATAAAACACGAACTTTTAAAATGACATCACTCTTGTAAGTGATTCCATAACATTTCAGCGGAAGCTGATGAAAAGCAAGGCCAGCAAGAAGGGAGGGGAGCTGTAGACCTTTGCATGTTTTTAGGGAGAATGCAAAGACTAGTGCTCCACGGGCACATAATCTCATTCCCTTTTGCTTGCTCCAAAAGAATTCTAGAAGTTTCCTTTTGCTTCACAGGTCTTACACAGTATTTCTTTTTTCTTTTGCTATTTAGGAGTGAGCTTGCTGATTCCCGCTGGGGCCATTCCCCAAGGGAGAGTCTATGAAATGTATGTGACTGTACACAGGAAAGAAAATATGAGGTAAATATTGTTTTCTATTGCATTTGACTTTATCAGTGTCTCAATTGGAGGAGAAGTATACAATAGAAACGACAGACCCAATATATTTTATCTTGAGTGGCATACTTTTGACTCTAGGTCTATTGTTTTTAAGTCCAGTTTTACTTCTTTCCTGTTGACCCTGCATATCTTGAGTATGGATGGAACACTAGAGATCTTTTCTATGAGTGGGCTCATGGTCCTCCTTTAGTTGGAAAATATGGCTAAAATTCACGGATTATCAAAAGAGATAGATAGGCTGTTTTAGACAGATCAGCTGGCTTATTCTGACCTGAGGCAAGAATCTAGTCATAGTAGAGATAAAGTTCACAAAAGTGGATACCTCTTAGCTTCTGACATGCCCTTCCCACCCTCGTCTAGCACTGCTCTTGATATGCCCCTCCCACCTCAGACTAGCAAGGTCCCTGATATGCCCCTCCCACCCCAGCCTAGCACAGTCCCTGATATGCTCCTCCCACCTCAGCCTAGCACTGTCCCTAATATGCCCCTCCCACCGCAGTCTAGCATGGTCCCTGATATGCCCTCTCACCCTAGCCTAGCACGGTCCCTGATATGCTCCCCCACCTCAGCCTAGTGCAACCATTGTACACAGATTTTTCCCTTCCATTTTCTAACTATCCTCCAGCATAAGAATCACCAGCCTTCTTCTTACCCTTAGCTTTTATAATTAGGCCTTTCAAAATTGAAGCTAGTGTTGATTAAATCCATACTGAATCCAAAGCTTCTACTTTGAATGTGTCTTGTTTGTCAATATGTAGCTATTTTAAGTAAAAATAATAAGAACAGGTTAGATGTCCTAAATTCAATTTTTAGCTTAGCTTCTGACATAGCAGGGATGGTATTTCTTGATTAATTCCCACACAAAGTATGTGTGTTGTGGTGTGTGTGTGTGTGTGTGTGTGTGTGTGTGTGTGTGTGTGTGTGTGTGTCCGTGTCAGTGCACTAGAAGCCTGGGTAATCAATGCTTTCAAAAGCACATTGAGATCTTAAAACAAAGGATGTTTTGGAAATGGAGATGCTGGTGTATAAGGATCATTGTTGGTCCCAGGGAAAAGCATCCTCAGGTCTGACTCTGAGCAGTCTGAGTGACAAAGGCAGACAAGATGATCATCTTCAAGCACTTTCCTCTCATCCTCATCCTTTTTAGTCCCCTACTTCCTAACTGAGAAGCTCTTTTGTTATGCAGTCAGGTAAACTATCATTTATAACAGTGTGACCCAGAACATTTTTCCCATCTAGTAGTATCCTTTCACCTACGCAAACAGCAGCCAGACTAAAAAGTTTAAAAACAGGCAAACAAAAAAAGCAAAACCACGGATCCTTGCACACTATTCATGCCTTAAAGTTGAGGCACAGAAGATCATTGAAAGATTTGTATTTACTTCTACCAAGTATTGTTTTTCATCCCTAGTGCAGACCAACATTCACAGATCCTTAGGGCTCCCTGCTTGGGGAGCAAGACAAGCAATTAGCAGACTCTGAGATGGATTTATTTATTTTACTTTCTCTTGTCCTAAGCCAAGGTGAGCATTAAACATATGCTGCTCCCCAAAGCTTTTGACAGACCTGAGAACTGGCTTGTGCTTCTTGCCACAAGGATGGTGTCTTTAATTCACACTATTACCATTATCTCCAGGTAAAGCCCATACCATATTGGGCTACTACCACAGCATGGTGTGACCCCTCCCATTCTCCCTGATTTTTCCTTTCCATCCTTTCAGGGTATTCTTGTCAGAGGGGTGATTGTACATGTTGGATGGGAGGATAGGGAATAGAATATTGGTAAGGCCAAATGCCTGTTCTTTAAGGTTCCACTGCCTTCAACTTTAAGTAACAAAGGGGAAATTGCTTTATTGAACTTGGTTTGCATCTAGAAAGTTGTGTGTGTATGTGTGGAGAAAGCGCAAGATCTCAAAACAAAATATGCAGGAGGTGGGGTGGGGAAATGGCTCAGTGTCATAAGTGATTGCTACAAAAGCATGAAGGTGAGGGATGATACCCAGCTCCCACTTATAGGAATAGTGACACACCCATAATCCTATCACTGGGAAAGTAGAGACAGGAGGACCTCAAGGACCTGCCAGCGAGCCAGTCTGGACAGACTGACCAGCTTCAGTTTCAGAGAGATTTTGTCTCAGAAGAATAAGCTGTATAGAGGAGCAGTGAAGGAGACACCAAAAGAACCCTGTTAGCCTTCACATATGAGAGCACACACCCACAAAAGAGAATACCTACCAGACACCATGAAGCAAAGACAGAACATGAGTAGATTTCTCAAATAAATGAGAAGATCTCACACCACTCATTTTCTTATATGACACAGATGTGTTTTCTGTGTAAAAAGCACAGGGGAAATGTACTTCAGAACGAGTAGCAGCACTAATTATGCCCTGAATCTCATTCTGCAGACACTTATATATGTTTCTGTCTTACTGAACTCTGCATATTGTAATGAAACCCACTTTAAAGGTGGGTAAACTGAAGCTCAGGAAATCAAGTCTCCTCAGTGATGGAGGAGGGCTAAATACAAGCCAAGTTCACCTGACCCCAGAGCTCTTCCGCTTTCCAAGATGACACCCCCCTGTATACACCACAGGCTGGCCCTCCCTCCTCATTATCTTACATGTTGGATATACTCATCACTGCTCAACACAGACTTTCCCAGTCCCCATGTAATACAGATGGAACTTTTCCGAGAAGTCGCGGTGAGGACGTCAGGAGGTGACTGCCACTTAAGTCATTTGCAGCAGAATGGTGAACATGAGTTTTCTCCACTTGTCTTTCCCTCTGAGTCCTTTCAGTGCGTCCAGCACTGGGTGTGATTCCAGCTGGATGGCTCCCCAGCTGGTCATCTGCTGATGTGAGTTGTCTGATGGGAGGCGTGAACTTAATTACATGTGGCATAGTGAATGTGACAAATGGGGCCTTGTCATTAGTGAATGTGCTCTATGCAAAGCACAGACTGGCAGATGCATGGACTAAATGAGCCAGAGATGGGACAAACCATGTCTGACCAAGGAAGGTGAAGAGTTGCCGGACTGGACCAGGATTTCTTCCTCCACTACCTTCTAGAGCTCTGAAGAAAACACAAACACTCAATTCTCTCATGAATACAGTTTGTGTGGCTTATGTAAAAATGTGACCACTTTTATCTGTTTTTTAGAATGGTTTTTTTAAATCTCATTGAGACCAAAATATCATCATTTATCAGTTCTTATGGACAAGATGGTTTGAGATTTGAAGGTTAAGTTTTCCCCTATCTCTGTAATCAGTACCTGCCTGGTAGTTCCTTCAGGCAGCCAGCCAAAAGGAGAAGTCAGTTCAGAGAGTAATCAGTTCAGAAACCCAATGTGAAAGCGAATAGGAGTCTAGTTGTAAACTGTGGGGAGCCACAGGAAATTATGAACAGTTTAAGGACACAAGGATTGGCACTTCTTTTTAAAGAGTGATGTGGTAACTTGTGATGTGGTGTGCTGGGAGCAGGAACAGTACATCTTCATGGAGGTTCTGGGGTTGATGAGAATTGAGAATGGTAGATAGAGGAGTAAAAAGTGAGTTACTGCAGAACAAAGGTGTTTTTTTAAGTGGTCAGTGTTGAGGAGAAATACATAGGATGTGTTTAAGACACAAGGTCTGGGCACTGTCAGTGAAGGAGGACTGAACAGCCAATGGCTGGAGGGGAGAAGCTAGGTTTCTGAAGGAGATGTGCTCTGATGTGAGTAGGGTCTGATCTCAGACATAGACACAGAAATGAACTCTCAGCAGGAGATGGATTTCCCAGGCGAAAAGAAGCAGGGTGTATGGAGGCAATGGGAAGCATTCCAATCTTTCCAATGGAAAGATAAGGTGGTTGCATAGCTTACACAGGGGTAATGTATAATGGCTCCTCCCTGAGTATTTTTTAACTAAAGGATGAATATGTATAAGGAGAAATAAGCCATGGTATAAGAGAATTTTTAAATCACAGGTAAAGAGGTTTCCCAAATCAAGCATGTAATTGGCAGTGGTTGGAATGTAAGAAATGAGGAAGAACCATTTAAAAACTACTTGGGTATTGGTGGTCTTTAGCATCCTTCTGTTTATGAAATCCCCTACAGAACTAGTCCAAGGTGTGAGTTAGTGATGAGGCAATGAAACAACAGTTAAGAGTAGATAAAATCAGGTGGGTGGCAGGAATATCTGATCGTGGCTTAATGAAGCACACTTCCTGGGAGCAGATAATGAAGGAAGCCAGATGTGCTGTTGTGTCTAAAACCTTAATACTCACAAGGCTGAGACAGGCAATTCTGGAGTTCAGTGTCTACAGAAAGACTGTCTCACAAAGAGAAGGAGGGAAAGGGATAAAGAGAAAAGAAAGGCTTTGTTATGTTTTAAGATGCACATGAACAATATGCCTAGAAGGAGTCTGATTCCTTCCTGTCTACTCCCTCATAAGGAATATATTTCATGTCATAAACATCATAAGATAAAAGTAGCAATAAGCTAAAAAACCTATTTGTATTAATGATCCACAAGGGAAGTAGATTGTGGGGGGCCAAAGTATATGCTCAGAAAAATAATTCCACAAAGATATGATACAATGCTTAGCTGTTCTGACGTACTCTGGGGATATACTTTCCCTGTCTGTGAAAATAGCAACATGCCCTTCAGAGTGGCTTCCATATGTGTGTGTGTGTGTGTGTGTGTGTGTGTGTGTCTGTGTGTGTGTGTGTGTGTATGTGTGTGTATACTTTCTCAATTGAGCTTTTGATAGGAACCAAGTTGAATATTCCCTTGGAGCACATAGTGTAAGTATTTTCAAGTTGCCAGTTCTGTGTGAAGGTGCATACTTTAAAAGGTGGCTGAGCCTGGGCTAGGATTGTCACCCTAAAGGACCTGACAGAAAGGTGTGCATCCACAGAAGGCACCTTATGTCCACACAGAGGTTGATGAAGACAGATCCTTTCCAAAAAGTCCCCAAGCTTGTGGAAAGCAAGCCCATACACACCCGTGTGAAAGAAGAGGAATGATTTGCATGTGAAATCTCATGATGCCAATCATTAGCCCTATATGCTCAGGCAAGTGTGTTAATAGCGCTGGAGAGGGGTCGCATGAGCACCTTACCTTACAGGTGTGCATGGGCAGCTAATGCTGTTGCTCACTTGAGAGTTGTCTGTGATGCTGTTCTGTGTGCCCAGTCTTCTCACTGACAGGCAGTAGAGGCTGAAGGCAAATTTTCCTGACAGAAAAACTACCTTCTCCTCATGATCTTTGTCCTAGGGGTATGGAGACCTGTCCAGTTGTTAAGATGATTTGATCCTTGTTAGGTTTTTGTTTGTTTGCTTTTGAAACGGTTTAAGAATTCTGATCATTGAACTTTGCTGAGTTTCTACTTAATTGCTGCTTCTGTAGCTAATTTTTGTTCTGGGTTCATATCCCTGTCATCTGTAATTGACTGTTTGCTTGAGTAACTCAGATAGCTCACAGGACACAAATAGATTGGAGCCCTTCTCTACAAAATCATGTGTGAGGTTTTCATGTAGTTTCTACTAGTTGCATTCTAGGCACCCTCCTTTCATGTAAGTAATGGCTAGACACTTCTGACCCTTGGAAAGTGACCTCAGTTTCCACCACTTCCTTCATCCTGAAAGTCTTAACTTCTTTGTTTTTCATCCTATTATGAATTTCGACTTCATCATTTCCCTATTCATTTCATTTTTGCACCTCACTGAGTTAATAAATTCTTTTGACATCAAAAGCCCCTCCTACCCCCACCCTCATGTGGTTTCCCTCCTCCAAGAGCAGTGCCCATCAAGTCAGCATGCCAGGGCTATCCAACTGATGCTTCCTCAACTCAGCAAGGGTGTTCTTCCCCTCCCTTATGTTCCTGGGCAGTGAGAGCAAGCCCCCTCCTTCCCTTCTCCAAGCCCAGGCTTATGACATTACCCTGACAGATTATTGGAAACCTCAGATCTTTGCTAGGGCTACTTGAAATGGATCTACCTGAGGTCCCTCTCTGTAAATTTGACTGCTCACCTCTCAGAGTACGCTTGGAACTAAAGGTAGTTTATTTCTCTCCTGGTAAGAAAAGTAATATTAGGTAGCAATAAGGTCATTGCCAAAGGCAGATAGTGTAATATTAATCATGACAAAATGAAAGCAAAGCTTCACCTATGCTGTATAGGGGGAAATTAGACAAAAGGAAGAAGACAAACTATGTTAAGAGAAAATGAAAACAAAAGTGGTAGAAGGGGTAGCATTGAAGTCTTTAAGCTATTGCCAGAAACGTTATGATTCCAAACATAAGTACATCCCCAACATGTCTAGGAAGCCCTAGGTTTAATAAAAGAAACATACTATGCAGGATATTAAAGCCCAGAAGTAAGCAGAGCTCATTTGAGGCTTCCACGTGGGAGGATAAAAGGAAAGGACAGAAATTGGTGATATCCAGGTACAACCGCAGAGGAAGGAAGAAGCAGTGAGAGCCTGAGATTCTTAAGGCCAATAAAGACCAGATTGTAGGTTTTAGGGATGGTGATGACTGGCAACTCTAAAGTCTTTGTGTTTGGCTTCATTTATGAAACTGTATGATAGCTGTCATTGTTGTGTCAGTCCTGATAGAAATCACCAGTGTTTAAGTCAGACAGGCATGATATACATTAGCATCAATTTTGTGTTAGTTTTCTGAGCTGAAGTTCCCAAGGTATTTCAAAGAGGGTCAGGTGACATCTACACAGTTTTAGTAAAGGACCACTAAACATGGGGAAACTGAGTCTTTCACAATGAGGTGCAGCCCTGCCTATCATTTCTTTCAGATACAGACATCTTTATCTTCCAAGACAACTGTAGACAAGCACGCTTGAAAACAGCTAAGCACATCAATTATCATAATAAATCAATGAAGAATTATCTTCTAACAATGTTAAAAATAATAAAAGCTGCCATCATTCATTCATCTCTGTTCATTAATTTAGCATTAGATGAGGGTAGAGCATAGATATTTACTAACCTCTAGATGATGTGATAAATAATACATAAACTATAGGTAACAACAAGAGACAAATCAATTTCAGGTAGCCACTGCAATTACGGAAGAATTTGAGATGTCCTTTTAAATGTCCACATGAATAAGACAGAAGGATGTCACTGAGATGTGCATTTTAATGGGTTTATATTTGGTTGAGCTAAATAACTCAAAGGTATTGATGTTTGATGAGAGAGAAGTTTCAAGTGATGACCTTGGAAAGGTCTCATTTTTGTTACAATGTTGCCAGTGACTATAGGGAATACAAAAAAGGCAGACATATCTATTTTATGAAGGATAGGAGACTATGGGAGGTAAAAATATTTGGAAGAATGGCATAGCATTTAGAACTATATATTGAATCTAATAAATCAAAATTAAAATTTTTAATATGTCTAGGTCAAAATCCATCTAACAAACACAAAACTATATAGACTTGATATAACCTAAAAACATTTAAGTTAGGAATATTTGATGGATCAGCTTTAACAAATGACCTAGCTTCCAATGGTGTTCATTGCCTCCTTTAATGAAAGAAATTTTTCAATAATAATTTCTCCATCTCCCCTCTTAACTAGTATCTGGCACTTAATATTTATAAGCTATTACTTGATTGAGAATAATCCAATGCAATGATTTGTGGTTTATGGCTATATCTATATAATCTAAGTAAAAATAATAGCAATACACTTAAGTTTTAGGTTAATTTCAGGATGCCCAATTTAACGAGACACCAAATCATTGGAAACTTCCATGTGAACTTGAGGAAAGAAACGTAAGGAGATAAGTGGAATCCTTGCTTGTGAGATGACATTTAAAAAGTTGGGAATGTTCTTTAAGGGAAAAGATATCAAAATAATCTCCAAATACATGATACAAAGTGGCCTAGTTAGCAGGCCAAGGACATACGGAAAGAATTGTCTAGAAGGTAGACTGTGTTCATTCTAGTTGATTATAATATGAGTTGAGAAGAAATAAATGAGATCTAAACAATTGACCATAAATTTGAATACGTCTAAGACACTAACCACTTGTCAGTTGTGTTGTCATCAACCTCTTGTTCTGGGGAGAAAGGTATTGATGACACTCCTAAAGTTCCATGGGCTTGTGACTGCTGCAGCCATGATCTTGTGATAGTCTACTTGAGAGCTCTTAAGATGCATGCCTTCACTCTATTCACAAAACAGCCCTTGTGTGTTGTGAGACAGATGAGCACGCTCAGGACTTTGGAATGATTTCTTTGCATACTAATTGGCAGTTTAGACTAATTAGTTCATTTGTTTGTTGTTTAGTAAAGTAAATTTAACAGGTTGACAGAGTTTAGGAAAGGAAGGAAAGAGGGAGGGAAGGAGAAAGGAAGGGGAGAGAGTGGGAGAAAGAAACAGTTTGTATCTTTGAGTCCCTTCTGACCAGATTTTTTGCATGTGAAACACATAAGTGATGTGATCTCATTTTAACTTGCTATAGAAATGCCATTCCATATTCTTTCTGCTCACATCTGAAAGAATGAATCTGCTATACTAGCCTGAATTATGCCTGAAAGTCATTTGGACTAAGTTTAGCTGTAGGGTGTCCTCATTCTGAAGTGAGTTTTTTGAAGTATTTTTCGAGTTAGGCCCTGAAAACACTAAAGTATTTAAAACACTGTGAGACCAGTGGCGAGAGTTATCAGAAAAGCTGCTTATGTAACTTCATACGGATTTTGTTCTTTCTCATTCCATCCTGAAAGTATCAGAGCACGAATTCAGAGAACACTATCCAAGGCAGCCCTGTGTCTGAGGACAGGATCAAAGAGATGCCGGTGAATGCATTGCTGTCAGAAAGACCTCCCGTCTTACAAGATGAAAGCCCATCTATAGAGAACATGGCTTCCATTTATTTCTGTCTTACCCTCCTACCCCCAAGTGTTATGAGGAAGTGATTTGAACTGTTTATCCAACTTTAGATCTCAGTGATTACACAGTGCATTGGTACTATGGAAATGTCACAGGTATGGTTCTCTGCTCTCCCTGCAGGCCCCCCATGGAAGACTCTCAGACCCTACTGACCCCTGTGGTGAGCTGTGGGCCTCCTGGAGCTCTGCTGACACGCCCTGTCATCCTCACTCTGCATCACTGTGCAGACCCCAACACTGAGGACTGGAAGATTCAACTCAAGAACCAGACAGTGCAGGGAGAGTGGGAGGTGAGTAAGAGTCTGTGGGAGAAACATGGCACCCGCGGCCATCTTTGGGGTAAGTAGGGGAGACCTTTATTTCTAAAGTAAAGCACGATAGCCTTTTAGCTCACACTCAAAATGAGAGACAGAAGGTCAAATATTCTGACTGATGGGCAAAAGGAAGGGCATGTTCAAAATCAGAAATGAGATGACAAGAAGTCCCAGGGGAGTCACTGTTAGGGGAATGGCACCACATGTTGAGGAAAGGGTGGGGGATCATCAGAACTTACATCAGAACTCTCAATTTAGCATCTGCCTCTCAAGAATATCTTTATCAAATATATATGTAAATGATAGTATAAATGTGTATTTATATAAAATTTACATATGCAAAATGTGAAGTTACAATATGATTACTTATGGTATTTTTAGCAAAAAAGATTATAAAGATATACATGAAAGTTTAAGACTATAATATTTTAGGAAAACTGATTTAACAGCAATGTAGGATATTCTGAGATTAGCTAGATTTTTTCCTTTCTATGAACATTGACTACACTTGACCATATGAGGGAATCATTCCTTATCAGAGCCCCTCAAGACTAGTGTTGAATTTGGGGTTGTCCTTTAATTAAAGTCTTTAAATATACTTAAATTGGCCTAACTTTAATCTCATTTAAGCTTTAAAGTATCAAAAAAAAACTAAAGCCCTATCTTAAGTGTCTGCAAGATTTTCTGCTTAATGCCTTTTCCATTTCTGGGACTGAATGATGCTAACAATGATACAGTGATGAACTCATTAGTAGACAGAAGTTTCTGTTCCACCTGGTCCAACAGCCATTCAGTCCCAAAGAAACACACACAGGCTTATATTAATTATGAAATGTTTGTCTTGTTGCTCAGTCTTATTACTAACCAGCTCTTGCAAGTTAAATTAGCCCATGGCTTGGTACCTTTTCTCAGTGATCCACTCTCATCTTGCTTCCTCTGCTTCTGACTGGCAACCCCATTTCTACCTTTTTCTCTTCCCAGAATTCTCCTAGTCTGGTGGCCCTGCGTATACTTCTTGCCTATACTGGCCAATCACCATTTTATTAAACCAATATGAGTGACAAATCTTTACAGCGAGGAAGAAAAGTACAAGTGACATTCTCATGCAAACTCTCTCAAAGCAGGCCTGGGTCATGGTGCACACTGTTGTCCAAAGCCTCCAGACTTCTTAAACCATTCCTACCAGTTCCTTCTTTGCCCAGTATCCTGGGGCCTAGAATAAACTTAGAGAACTTGAGATGCTTTCTCCTCAATGTAAGACTCCTTTATATTCACTTCAAACTACTAATCCATTGATATTAAAACATAGCTCATAACATCTCAGATGATGTCATATGGCCTAGCCAATAAGCTATTGCCTGGGGAGGCTGCTACAATCATATCTTTATCCAGACCTAGAGATTAAATTTCATTCACTCATTTTTTGTTTTTTGTGTTTTTTTTCAGTAATTGTCACATAGCATGAGAAAAACCTACTGGGACACAGTAGAGAGCATTGTAGAAATGACTCCTGCTCTGTGGGGAGAAAATGCCCTAATTCAGAAACTGAATTTGTAGTCATGCATGTGTTTTCTTTCCCACACATGGAATTTTCTTCTCAATCTGAATCACTTAAAAGTGGGGAGAACATATAAAAATCACAATGTGTACTTACCTGTGGCAAATCATGTCTCTGGGGACCCTGGCCTTGCCATCCCATTGTCTGATTTCATGGGGCACAGTACTCTTAACCCAGCCACATGCTCTACTGCCCAGTCTCCAGTGCCTCTTGTCACCTTACACCCTGCCAACTGTCCTGGGAGCACGTGGGATGCTGACCCTTGGCTTAATGACCTGACCCGCTCTCTTCATTAATATCTGACTTAAGTCATTTGAATAAATCAAAATATGGTTGAATTAGCAATTACTTTTGCCAAAATCATCACTTCTACTTCTTTCTTACCAAATATTTTGTCTAAATTAAGAATAATTTCAATTATTACATGGAAAAATATCGAAGAATTATAGAAAAGGCAGTATGTACTTCCCACAGCTCACCTTGTGGAGACTCTCAGGGCTGAGATTATTTATAGGAAACTATACCATTCTGAGGAATTATCTGTAGTGTTAGTTTTGAAAGAAAAATAGAGTAATATTATATAAAGCCTTAATTCCTTAATCCCTCTAATTATTTTTAAATATAGATTCTTGGGAAAAAATTGATATGCTATGGTAGCACTTCAATGTTTTGTACTTTTCAATTAAATGCGATATTGAAAGGTTACAACAACCATTTATCAGAAGCAGTTAATAAATACAGGTATACTGAACTGAAAGGAATAATTTGTTACTGTCTTTTGGATGTTCATGTAGATTTCAGGACATTTATGCAAATAATCACATGAGTATATCGACAATGAAAGAAAGAGAACTGATAATGGGGAATGAAAACAGGCACTACAGAGTTGGAGAAAGATGAATCAGAACTGCTTTATCTATCACCGTCCATGGTAATTGGCATGTGTCCTTGATAGCTTAACCATGACCCCTTCCCTCTCATTCCCAGGATGTGGTGGTGGTAGGAGAGGAAAACTTCACCACCCCCTGTTACATTCAGTTGGATGCAGAGGCTTGCCATATTCTCACGGAGAACCTCAGCACCTATGCCCTGGTTGGGCAGTCCACCACCAAAGCAGCAGCCAAGCGCCTGAAACTGGCCATCTTTGGGCCCCTTTGCTGTTCTTCCCTGGAGTACAGCATTAGAGTCTACTGCCTGGATGACACACAGGATGCTCTAAAGGTAAGTGACTCCCACCTGACTTGTCCTCTTTACCCTTACCTACAAGCTAAGGTTTGAAGTGACCTTGCACACCTGGAGGTGGTTCTGGGCAGGTGTGCAAACACAAGCAATGAGTCCCAGAGGAAGCATTAACACAAATAGATATATCTCAGAGGCCATACTGATAGATAAGCTGTTTTCTCTGTGCTGATTTTCCCCAAGGGCTACTTTTGTTTACCTTATTTGAGCTCTTTTAATGAAAAATGTAGAAGAATTTGGCAACGAAACCCATGGATGGTAAATAATCTGCTTCCATGTTTATCTCAGCTGCGTTCTTCCTATAAAAGAAATTGGCATAATTGCTCATACTGTATGTTCCTCTTGTGTACTACTTCATTTATATGCTTTCCCATTCTTTTTACGAGAGCTGTGAGGGAGAGGGTTAGCATTTGACAACAGGCTGCTGTTTTGCAGAATAAATGAGCTTAATTCCTGGTGTGATTATTGCCATTCGTTTTATCCCATTTGAAGCTTTAAGGGATATAATAAGTGCCTGTGAAGAAGTTATGATCTAGAAGGAGGAATAAAGGAAGTACGACAGGGTTGAGGAGATAAGCCAGAATGTGATGAATGTCACTGCTGATACTACCCTCTGTGAGAGTTCAGGGAGAAGAGCTACATAGTATTTTAAGGAAATCTGAACAAGAGCTACCATCTGAGACTTGTCATAATGGAAGGTAGGGTTTTAAGCAGCATTGGTAGGGAAAAACATCCAAGATATCTAGATACAGATAACAGGGAGAAGACACACAAAAGCGAATGGTAATTGGTGTCTTTAGGCAGATCTACTCTACCAGTAAACTCATAAGATGGGTCTCAGCTGACAATAAGAGTCTATGGAGTCTACAAAGGTGTAAATGGAGGCAAGCCATGATTGGAAATGTCCATACGACCCATGACTCTGACTTCCTGGACAGAGTTAAATTATTAAGGAGATTGTGTTGGAGCTGTGATGGTGCCAGGGGAATGAAAGGAAGGAGACAGGGACGTTAAGGTCCCCAGCAAGTCGCATGGTGACTGCCACTAAAGTAGTGGAAGAAGATCAAACTTCTGTCTCTAACAATGGCAAAGGTACAGTAGGTGGCTTTGTTACTTTGTCAATCCAAGCGACTATGACAAATACCATGAACTAGGTAACTAAGTGTAGACACTTTTCCTCGTTGTGCTGGAGGGTGGAAACCCAATGTAAGGATGTCAGCAAGGTTGGGCTCAGGTAAGGACTCCATAGGTTTCAGACAGCCATTCTCTTGCTGTGTCTTCATGTGGTAGACAGATGGCTGGAAAAGTCTGTGGAGTCTCATTTATAATGGCACTTATCTCATTTAGGAAAACCCTACCTTCATCACCTAATTACCTTCCAGAGGTCCAGTCTTAAAACTCTGACTTTGTAGATTAGGTTAATCAGCTATTAATTTTGGATGACACAAATAGTTGTTGGCAATAGTGCTTTCTCCTATAGACTAGTAAATTAGGGGGGGTTAATCTGACATCCAAAGATATCCAAGGGACAATTAAATATATAAATGTGGCTTTATCTCTGTCAAGCTCTATTTCCTTCCCTTTTTGACCTTCCTTAGCTTTTGATATCTTTCTTCTACTGCTTAATACTATAAGACCAACTTCAAAATGAACACAAAATCAGATTATTCATTATTTATCTCAATTTATCTCATTCTTTAACAATAAACTATACACCATAAACATATATAATTATTGTGTGGGGCAACAGTTTTAAAATAACATACTTTGATTTTCTTAACAGACAAGAATCCCAAAGTAGTGATTCAGGAATCAATGATATCATGTTGATATTATTCAACTAAGGTTATAGGGGAAAATATCCAAAGATAACAGAGGAAAAGATAAAAATAATTATTATTGCTGAGTTCTTCTATATAACAGGCAAAGTTCTGCATATTTTTATTAATTTATTAAATTTTTATAATAGTGCCATATGGTATCATTATTTCTACTTGACAGATGTGGACCCCAAAGGTCAGGAAAGTTTAAGTGGCTCTAGGTCACACAGCAATGGTATATAGAAAGCAAGCCTCAAGTGTGGGCAGTTAACTACAGTTTGTCTATGGAACTAACTTACTCTACAGGTAACAGTCAGACAGAGGACAAGCCTGCCATGATATGGCAGCAGGAAGGCCAGCCAGTCATAGGCAATTAGAGCATCCTCAGGGTGAGGGGGAGGTGAGAGAGAAAAGAGTCAAAAAGTCAAGTGAAAAACATTTTCCATCTGTCAAAGTATTTCTTTCTGTGGTTTCTGTCCAGAGCATAATGTTGGAATGTGAAAACTGGAGGTTTCAGGTCAGGGCTCCTGGGAAACAATCTCAAAAGAGGATGTTAAGGGATGTGTGGGGAAGTGAGCAACATAGGCAACTGTGCAGTTCTCATGGTAGATGTTGCCTGCAAGGTGTCCAGGAAGAGGAAGGGACTCTACTGGTCACTACATATATTCTTAATGATCAAGCTTGTTGAGTTTCCTGATGTGGAACTAAGTGATGTAAGCATGGCTGTGTGCAAGGCTTCGGGTTGCTTCTTTTGTCCTCCTTGCTGATGTGTGTGACATTTCAAATGCATGGTCACAATAAAAAAAATCATGCTGGGTTTAAATTCTTCTTGGTAAAAACTATTTGTTGGAGAGATGTAGGGTCTGACTAAGGCAATCTTCTGAACAGTTTTATGAAAAATTATTGCAAGAAATGCACAGCCAAAAAAATTGATGGTATCTGAAAATGTTTCATATACATAATTTATATTCTGACATAGCAATACTTGGGATCTCCAGGACTGCCCTCCCGATAGACACACAAGGGTCTATGCAAAAATTGTAATATTTTGCAAATCCCACATTTGAATATGTTAATTACAGAACAAGAATGGGAATGGTCAATGCAAAGAAAGACCAGCAGATTGCTTTAAGCAATGAAAACAACCCAAGAGCAGTTTGTATCATGGTCAATCCTTTCCAGACAGACATTTATAAATTCTCAGCATCTGGGGATCCAGCACTTATCTGGGAAGAAATGTGAATAATGGATGAGGCGTTCTTGCACCTCTTAGCCTTTTAATAATGTAGGAATACCAAAACCCTAGGATAAGTAAATAGTCTATTCAACACTGTGAAGAGACAATTAGTTCAGTCATGTCTGCACTACCTTACTCATACTTGAATTGGAACCTGGAGACTGATTAGCTCAAAAGGGCCCTTCAGTACCAAAAGCGTACCTTCTTGGAACTCTGTCTGCTGTTTCTCATGGCTTGCTTTTCTTCTATCTCCTTGCTAGTTTGTAGTCCTTATATTTCCAAGCTGGTTCGCATTATCCTTCCAGTCCTTTCTTTTTTCTTCCTTGTCTTCTCCTTTCTCAATCTCTTCTTCATTTAGTAATTCTTTATCACAGTACAAATAAAAAAATCTACTAGTGTTTTGGAGACATGTTTGGGTGTCCTTCTACAAAGGCTCTGATCTACGTTGGCTGGATCCGAGTTATATCTTAATGTTTCCTTCATATTTTTCAGTCAGTTAAGGACTTATCTTAAACATGTTCATATATCTTTTTTTGGAAACATGGTTCCATTAATAACAAATATCCTGCATCCACAAATCATTTTTTCTCCCACTCCTTCACTTACTCATCTTAGCCACTGCTGAACCTTCCAGATAGTTCTTCATCCCTTCCAGTGCCTGCAGTGAAACCCCATTCTTTTAATTCATCACAAGAGAAAAAAACAAGTCTACCCATTCTTATACTCCATAGCTACTCTGGGAGATCTCTCCACTTGTAGGCTGGATTTTTCTCAAGAGGTCATTTATTACCCACTGCATTTCCTTAAATACAGACCACTGCCCATACCAGCCTCAGAAGAACCTGTCTTGCAATCTTTCTTTCAACCTATTTTATTCCAAGTATTCCCTCAAATTCGATGTAAACCCCGGAATTTTTCTGGATGCATTTTTTTAGTCTTCATATCCACTCACATTATTCATCAATCCATCTGGATGTGTTCATATTCTAGTCTCAGCAGTAACTTCTCTTTTCTAAGGATCTCCAGTCTAAGCACGTTTCCTGGTGTAATGAGCTTCCATCTCTGTCACAATGAAGCTGCCACTTTCTCTTAGAAAAACTTCCTCAACCTTCCCTGATCCAAAAGTCCTCTTTTGCATTTATCCATATCCAGAGAGAACTCACCTCAAACATTCTCACATAGGGCTGTAGTGGGCTGCACTGATTCCCATGGCCAACAATGCCTACAAACTGACAGATTCTCTACTTTCTACTCAGACTCATTTTCAGTTAGGCCCATTACAATCCTAAAATGACTAATATAAACAGTGCCTTCCCTTGTTGCCTTTTATTGATCTCTTCCTGATGCATTGTATTTCACATGTCAGTTGTTTGGAAACTTCTTCCTGTCCCCCCCAAAGCTCCTGATCACAGCACAGCCAGCTTCATGCCTAACAGCGATCTCTGTTCTCCATGAACACTCCATCAGCTCTGCCTTTATGCCTCTGTGTCTTTGACACAATCTCTCCTCTCTAAATCCAGGCCCCGAGCAGAAGGAGGTCTGCTTGCTGCCTTATGCTTTAAGGTAATTCCTTGCCAGTAACACTGGGAACTCAATGTTGTGTCTCCCAGGACTTGACATTTTCATAAAGTTACAGCTGGATGTGGGGAATCTTTCTGAATTGTGGAAAAACAGAAACAGGAGACTGGGGTGGAGTATCTAGAGAAGTATTCATTTCTAATGTATAACACTACATAGTCTTTGTACAATATTAGAAAAGATGGCACCCTGAATATACCAGGAATATTAATTGGTTCTTTTTAAAGTCAAACATAGATATATTAAAAAGATATGTTTTTAAAGCTGGTTATATTATTATGTGTATGGCTAGACCAAAAGAATTTAGGAGGCTTCCCTGTCAGTCAGATTCAAGAAGCCCAAATGCA